CTTTTAGTTTATTCTCGCTGTGTAAGAGGAAAACTTTAAAAGAAAGTTTCAGTTTAATATTTTAGTGTTGGTTTGTATTGTTTGTACGGTTTTTTATCGTAATTTTGCCCGTAGAAAAGGTTTCTGAGTATAACAGGTCTGTAAAGTCAGCTCCTGTGATCCCAGTGATAACAAACGTATTTAGTGTAACGCGTTCTTGATTTATCGGTTCTTCTGAAAAACAATATTATTAAAAGCCGTTGTTGTTACTACTGCTGCTGCTGTTCTTACATTTTTGTGTTTGTTTGTTTGTTTTGTTTGTGCCCGTGGAGTTCTATCCTAGTTCCAGACGAAATTTTGATAACGTTATTATCAATTCAGTTGAATTTACCAGCTAGCTGTGGCCTGTGTGGGAGTACATAAGAAATAGAGGGCGTCAGATCCGATTCGTGCGACGAAGGAGGAAGCCTTCCGTTCCACTTTGCCTGTTATCTAATGCTGTGTTTATCGCTGCCCCGTCGCTCTCTAGTTATAGTTTATTAGAAAACTTGACATGAATTTAAACAAAACACAAAACACTGTGTATGGCTTGTGTGACCTTTGTGGGAGCTGGTCGGTTGGAAGTAACCAATTAAGGCTAAATTTAGAATAAAACAAAGGCTCATACATGTACATAAGATAATAAGTTATAGCTAATAATCAGGAAGCCAAATTTTTGTAACAATTCGAAACAATGAAATGTCATGCTGAAAAATGACGATCTACCTTAGTTAAATCTTTTCGACCAGGAGTTCTATAGGCTACTGTCCCGGTCAAAATTCCTACAAGACTGAAGAGCTTTCCGTACAAAAAAAATTACAAGGTGTGTTAGTTTGGATCCGGTTAAAGAGACGATTAGACATAGGTCGACCAGACTGAAAATAGATTGTACCGGATAAAGCGTAGTCTACGTATTTAGCAAGACAAATACGTCATATGAATGGAACGGAAATACGAAGTACCCCACTTCCCTAAGCTGTTTAATTCCAAACATGGAATTAATGGTGTTGCATCTAACAATAATTAACTGTACAGTCTTCAATTAAGTCAATTAAAACCGGATTAAAACTTTGCAAAACGCAGTTTTAAACACTTTTTTTAGAAACTAATTGTCTGATTTCAATAGGGCCTGTTTGTGGATCAATAGAACATGTCTCCAAATGGGGGAAATCTGGCTATTTAGCGATCACTATAGAATTAAAATTTGACGTCAGTCAGTTGGAAATGACAATGACAATTTACATATCATATTTTAAAAAGTAACCAAAACCCCGCTGTCTTGTTTATTTTCGCCAAACATGACACTCTAGCAGAGAGGCGAACTTAATTCTTCAAACTGACTCGCTCCCTCATAACCCGAAGATATCTAGCGAACTTCATTTTAAAGACTCATTCATCCTGGCACCATGAAGATTTATTGCACGCTGCTTCCAAGTATGATTTTCTACTGCTTGACTAAAGGAGGTAAGATGCATCTAATTTGCCCAAACTTGTCTCCTGATAATATACAGATTTGGTAATACTATTTCAAAACCCCATGCGCATAATTTTGAATTTTTTCTCAGCATTATCCACACCCTTATAAAATACTAAAGATGTTAGTATATACTGACCTATAACGGTTAAACCGGCCAGTTCTTTAAGTTTAGTTTCATTTACGGAACAATAACTAAAAGGTACCGTGACTTAATTAGCAAGTCTAAAAATAAGCCCTTTCTTCTTACATTTTGTGAAAATGATTCTCTCGTCTATTTTCAAAACTTTCTTAGCTATTTGTCTCTGAAGTAATGGAAAATACATTAGTCTGGACCTTTTGCTGTGTTATTATATTTTCATGACAGTTAACTGTTGATATGTTTTATGTGTTCTGACTATCCCCCACCCTCCCCTCTCCCTTTTTCCTTTCCTTCCAATCCCCTACCCCATTTCGACGCCTACCACGCAGCTGGCACAATTTACTTTCCGTTGAGCGAAAAAGCCTATAGAAAAAAAAAACCTGACTTAGACTTGACATTAGAGGAAACTGAAAAGAAAAGACCACATTTTGGAACCTGAGATAAGGTTTTTGTCATCAAAGGAACCTGCAAAGGGGCATCACTTATGACACGACAATGGAAAGCAGAAAATTAAAAACAAGAGGAAGAAATTTAAAAAGAGAGAAAACAATGGATGACCTCGAACGTGACCTAGGTTCACCGAAAAATGCATAGTTTGAGCATGTTTCGCGCTATTAGAACCCTCTATAAACAAGCACGTGCTTTCATAAAATCGGCTTTGTCAAACATCTTGCGAGGAGCCCATGGTCTTAAACCCAAATAATTTTTCCCGTTAAATTTCAAGCACCCGTTTGCCCATTTTGTTGCCATAATTCATAGCTTCACCGAATCCTTCTTGCTCTCCAGTTTCAAGTTAGTTATTAGAAGTAGTTGTTCATTTTACATTTTTTCCCACCGAGAACATGTTTTTAGAGACCTCGCTGATTTCCACAAAAGTAGCTTTGAGAAATCGTAAAAACATTTCAATAAACTCGGGTTAGATAGAGTTACAGATCTAATATTTTATAAAGCCACACTGCCCCTCTTTTGCTTAGCTATTTTACATGGTGAGCTATTAATACTTGTTTTGCATTCCTTCCTGTTTTTCACATGTACTTGTTAGCAGTGATTGGAATACGTTGATTTGCACTTGAAAAGCAAGAACAAGGTTTCAACTGTAAAATGGCAGGGCGAAAAAAATAACCGGCGCCGGAGCGAAATAAACACAGGAAAAACAAGCGAAAGGAATTGGTGGGGAGCCTTTTTCACCCGGGCTTTTTCACTTCCTTCTGTTCGTTCTCGTCTGTCGCAACAGAGAAACTGTTCACACGCTACTCAGGGAAGGTGGAAATTCGTTCAAATTTTTCTTTTTTCTTTTTTTTTTTTTAAACCGCAGTCCTATGTGTTTTGAAGATATTGTTATTGATATTGATCGTGTCGTTATCATCATCATCACCATCATCATCATCATTTATTGTTATTATTATTATTATTATTATTATTACGATATTTTCATCCGTTCATATTTTCCTGGCTATTTATTTTCTTCTTGATTAAGAACTTGTTACAGCATGATCTATGATATCTTCAAACGATTAAAATGCCAGAGAGGCTTTTCTAATACTTAGATGCCCACATTGCATGAGGAAAAAATGCTTTGTGGTTTCACTAACGTAACAAGGATTATATCCTACCTCCAGGAATTAAAATTCTGTGCGCAAACAGATTCCTTTTGAATTAAAAAGCTCAGTGTTTCGTGCAAACAAAGATGAGAGATAAATGTAATCTAATGTTACATCTTAGTTTTTTTGTACCTAAAGGCTGGTTGTGGGGTTTTTCTGTGGACTGAGCTCTAAACGGCCTGGTGTCCCTATAAGGTAGTTTTTAACACAAAGCTTAAACGGGAGAACATTGCAAGATTTGGTCAACCTTAGGATAGCACTTTGGCTATCATGGTATGTGTGCACAAGTTTCGTAGCTTTCAACTCAATTTATTAGGTGGATAGAGGATTTTGGAATAAGCGTTTTCTTGATAATTTTTGTCACGGAAGTTTAACTAGATAGTATTTTATCCTGATAAAAGAAATACTGAAATTTCTCCTAGTTACTTTAGAAGCTTTCAAAGTCATCACGGACTTCGAACAGAGTACAATCAACTCTCTCTAAGACGGACACCTTTGTGACCGGCACTAGCTGTCCGTCTTAGAGAGATGTCCGTCTCATAGAAAGTCAAATAAAGGGAATAAAGAAAGGCAGGGACCAACTCTAGGTGTCCGTTTTACAGAGGTGTCCGTCTTATAGAGGTGTCCGTTAAGAGAGAGTCGACTGTAGACGAAAACTTAAATAGAAAGCAAGCACATTCCAAGAAATTAAAATACACACTCAACTGTAAGCTTCTTTTCTGCTATGGACGCTATCGCGTTATTTAGCTCGTACACCCCTTTGTAACAGACCCAGTAGCTGATCTATATCTTCACTGGGTTCTCTCGAGAAAACGTCACCGGGTTGGCTTATTATTTTCCTCTTTTTTTTTTCGTAATTGAGTATCTCCAATAAAAGCTAAAAGTGGTGGTAGGCCTAACATCCTTAGCGGTATGAAACCTTTGAAAACCTTTTACATATCCCTCTAGCAAGAAGAACTAAAATATTTACACTTTTTTGCGAGATCGGGCACCTCTACCCTCCGATTTTTTCTCGTAAATGGTGATAATGTTTTACATTTTTGCTTCTTTTAAGCAAATATGAATAACGAAATACACTCTCGTTTTGTAAAAGTCACGATAGAAATTGACCGGGGAAGTAAAAAATTAGCCGGGTTGCTGAAACAATTTATTCGTCAGGTACCGGGGAAGCTAAATTACCACTGGGTAGACTAAATAAAACCACTGTCCGGGGTACTGAGGGTTTCCTTGGGTCTGTTACAGAGGGATGTTCTCGTTTTGAACTGTTTTTTATGTCTGCGTCAATGGATTATAAGAGACCCTACAGCATTAGCGTGACTAATTTCCCTTTCAGATTTTACGGACAAGATTTAAATCAGGGCCTGTTAAATTAATTCTTCACAAAAGGAAAGACTCAAATTGTCAGCCTTGTCGGGGTACTTTTTGCAAGGTACGATTGGTGTTGAAAAGTATAAGAATTTACCGGGAAACTGGCCATGGTCGACGTTAAAAGCAATTTATTGTATAGGATCGAGACGTTAGGTACTGAACAAGAGGTTAAGGCTGTCCATTAAACTGCTGCCACTCCTTGACTGAAATAGTCTTCTGCAGACCTAGGCAAGACTTAGGCCTCGGGTGTGTGCCAAACATTGCTTTGATTAGAGGTTAACGATTTCAAGATCCCTGCAGCTGGGAACCCCACGCGTTAAAAATGCAATGCCTAACCCTAAGTTACATGTGCTAGTCTCTCTTTGGAACTGACACACTTCGTTCTTGCTTAGTTTTCAGCAGTTTCGTGTTATGGCCATCAGGACGATATGGATTGCCGATGCCTAAGACAGGATGTCCAACGGCCAATGGCTTTCATTGGTCCACTGGATACGTCTACCAGGACTTAGAGGATAACTACAGCCAAACCAAAGCTTCCCCTGAAGCGCATTTAGCGGGATCGGTGTCGAATGATGTGCTGCAGTATTTCTGTATCAAAAGTGAAACGTTTACCTTCCTCAACAGACCCTCATGGCCAGCGGGTGAATACTGCATATATCGGAAAGGGACGAGTTGTCCCGCGGGCATGTATAGCGGGTCACTGTTATTAGATAACGAAAACGCCAATGGAACTAATAAAAACTCACATAACGGGTCACTCCCAGCAGGAGTTTACAACCAGGACACGAAGATATTCTTCTGCTGTCAGACATCAGGATCGTATAATGTAGCTATTCAGTTGCCAGTTGATAAACCTTTCTACCTAATTGCGTTCAGACCATATTGTCAAGAAGTGCTGAACACGGTTCATACAATGGAGTTTATCGTATACGATACAGAGGATGATAATAATCATGACAAGAGAATATTTCCTTATCCATATGGGGCTGAGCTGCAAGAGCCTCGAATAAACTACTGTTACTATCAAGGTATGGGACACAACATGATTTTATTTAAGAGTGTTACGAAGTGGCCAACAACTGATTGAACCCTGAGGTTTGGCCCGGTTCAGACGCCGAACTTTTCATGAGCCGAACTTAATTCGAGTTAAGGCCGACCCAAATTATTTAGACTGGCTGAATTATGAGACACCGATCTTAATTCCAGCCTAACTTAATTCAAAACGAGAAAAATGCTCATTTCGGTCAAATTGCGTACTAAATAGGTTGTTATAATTTCTTTATGAGGTTCGGTACACCAAAAGTTCGGTGTCTGAATCAAGCCGTTCCAGAGTCGATTCGTTGTCGAAATTCCCGGCCGGGTTAGGTGGGAAGAACGGCTGAGCCGTTCTAAATTGAAACAGGCCTTCCTATTTCGCTCAGACACCGAACTTTTCATGTACTTAATTCGATCTAGTAGGTTCGGCTAGTGAAAAGTTCGACGTCTGAACCGCCGGCCTTAGACAGGTTAATTATGAATCGTGTTTAACTGAGGGAAACAGCATAGACGCTACAACGATTGCTTAGGCATCCAAGAGGGATAACCCGGGAGAGTTGTTTAGATTACTGAGCGGGGTTGGTTATCTCTTTCTTACTGGTTTCTACCCATAATAGGTTTACTTTTAAGCAAAATTGGATAGTGTTATCCAACTTTTGAATAACTGGAACCAGGTTTAGGACTTTGCGCTGCAATGGAAAACAGAGTCAATTTTTTTCTCCCGTAGATAAAAAATTGAAATGCTCTGTCTCTATATCTAGATATTGCAACAGTAGAGCATTCTATCTAATAAAAAAACAAATAAAACACGAATCGCTATACCGGTATCGTTATCCGCACATTATCATAATCATCAACAGTATTCTCTCAGTGTTCTTATTCGATAAAGAGCCTACAGATAATTTTGGAAATCAGTATCACCTACAGATTAGTTGGTTAATATCTGCTACAGATAACTGACTAATCTGTAGGTTGAAAGCGCAGTGCATGCATGATTCCGATAATTTTAATAATTGTTTAAAATTAACGTTACCCTTCGCACTCCTTGTCCCATGCTCCTTTCTTTCATGATCGTCATAGTCAACATTATCATCATAATCAACTTTATTTTAATTAGTATTACTCTTGTAATAATGATCATAATTATTACCAACATGAGCAACGGCACTTTTATCGTCATTCTCAACCGTGATCAATATGAATATGAGATACTTATTTCTCCTTCTTCTTTCTTCAGCATGTCTATGGACTTTTACAGCACTGAAAGGAATCTTCAGGAGTCCCTATTACCCACGAAAGTACAACAACAAGGCATCATGTACATGGCATATCATTGTTCCCTGGAATTACACCATCTCACTTACCTTTAAAGATTTCTCAACAGAAGAACGCTGTTGCACTTGTGATTATGTTGAAGTATGGGAAACGCACAAAAATGGCTCCACAGTTTTGATGCAACGCTTTTGCGACGACAAAAAACCACTTCTATCGAAACCTTTTTATTCAAGTGGCAATAATGTGACAGTTTTCTTCCATTCAGATGATACAAAAAACGCAAAAGGATTTGAAGCCATTTACGAGGCAATCCCTGTAAACGGTAAGAAGAGACCAAGTGTAGCCAGTCGCTGTGTTAACTCCGCGGTTATGTCAGTGATTAAACAATTAAATGCGTTCGGCACTGCGAAATGTCTTTAAGAGTCTATATCTCCTGTAGAATTCTTTTAATTCAAAACTCTGCTGTTACATCTTATTAAGCTAAGGTGGCTGAATACAGTTTTGTCAGTTATCGAGTATATGCCATTTGTCAAATCATGGCAAGAGAAAGGTTGCAGCTCAAAAGCTGAAACTTGGCAAGTGAAAAATATACTGATGAAAGATTTTGATTGACAGGTAAAATGCTGCGACATTTTCGAAGTTTTCATGGCAACATGAAGGATTGTATACAACCTTATTTCACTTTTGCTCAGTTTACATAAAATTCGCTCATTAGATTTTCGTATGAACTTGCACACAGCTTACCATAATTAATCATTACCATTTGAAACTTATTTGACCGAATTTTAACAGACGGGTTTTTAGATAATCAATAATATAATTGTGCTGTAATTGATTAAATGTGTCACAAAATTCGCCTGTTCAACTTCCATTTTAAAGCTCTCATTATTTAAAATACGATAGAAGTAAAAATTCTGCCAAATATCACAAAATTTTAGTGAGTAGATTTTGAGAAATCGTCTTCGGTGTACCATTGCTTTTTTCACCGCCATGTTTGTTTGTCTAATTTAAAGCACGCGTCGCGACTCGAGTTACCGCTGACCGCCCGCAAAACTGTATTCAGCCACCTTAAAGAAGTTTTTAAAATAACACATTTTTGGAGGAGTGGGCACCACATTTGGCTTGGAGAATTCTTTTTTTTTTTTAAGTTCACGCGCACGACAAGCCCACGACGAGTGACGGCTCTTCAGCACACTAACTCCAACAACAAGCTACAACAACTTTATTTATTATTACGTCTGAGCGGTTTATAAAATGAAATAAACATATGCATATTGTAGAAAATTGCTAAACCAAGGTATGTTTACAATTAGCAGAAATAACATGAATTGAATAAACCTCAGCAAAACACGGAATAACACGTTTGTGTGGAGGAGGGGGAACTGTCCCTGTCTAAAGATGACGACACGTCTCGGCTGGTTACGTTCGGGAAAACTTAATTTGGCCTCCTGTTTTGCCAGGAAATCTTAAAACATGATCTTTAAAAACGTGAATTATGTTGACGAAGAAGATCAACAAAAAGGAATCAGGAAGAGAGAGGAAGGGTCAGTAGGAGAGGGTAATAACAAGTTCTTTATTTTTCTTCTTTTCAATAGCCACAACTTCCACAACAGGCGTCCCGACGGTCAATACCACAAAGACAAGAGTAACAATATCAACACAGCAAACGACAAAAGTAATGATTGCACAGACAAACTCAAGTAGTACAATAACATCTGAAACAGTAATTAAACAGAACATCACCACGCCTTCACCATTAATTACGAGACCATCCTCAACCCATGCTGACAATGTGATAAGAGAAACCTCAACCAAAGTGCCAAGACTGACCACCGAGACAAGGGCGAACAAGGACAGCATACATGAAGCCAGAAATGAAAAAGCAACCAGCGAAAGTGTTTTTGTCATTGTTGGCGTGATAGCTTCCGTGATCGTGATTGGCTGTTCAGCGGTAGCAGCTGGGCTTTGCTGTTACAGAAAAAAGTGGTGAGAAGAACAAGAAATAAATTGTAAAAACAAGTCATAATTAATGCAAATTTATTTTCTCCCGACGATTTATTGGTGTCCAAGTCGTTGCTTTCTCTCAATCTAGGTCACTTTGCAAGTGCCGTATTTGATGCTGATGAGTAAAATCTACGATTCTCGCTCATTGGCTTTAGATTGGGTACATGTGAAGGGCAATGTTTGAAACGAGCCTTATTTAACTGCGGAGGTCGCTGGCTCAATCCTTGGGGCCGGACCAATACTCAGGGTCGCCCCTAACCAAGGAATGCAGCCTGGCATTGCCTTAGCCCCGCAAACGGCTAGACTGCGTGGAGCAAATGATCACGTAAAATGGCGGTTTCGTGTCCAGTAGACGACGTAGAAATAGTGCCTTCAATTAGTTCTTTCGAGCTAAATACGATGACTGCTGGTCCACTGCAGCGGTGTATGCGATCACCAAGGCTGGTGCGATACGCTGCTGAACTGAGTTTAGTTGAATACAACAACTGATAGCCCTTTATAATTTACTGAAGAGGCGAGTCTCGCTGTATATCAACTTCACACTTCAAGTTTTCATTTTGCAAGGGTGTGTGTAGTGGGGGGCGGGGGGAGGAGGTGGATATCTTGTACGCTCATGTATTTGTAGTTGGCAAACACAACACGCATAAAACTTTGAAGCTATAGGGCAGCCACATGCACACTGAGCTGCATTTTCATTGATACTGGCTGAGAACTCTTCTCTAGGTAAGCCCCTGCAGCTACTTTTCTTCTCATAGTAAAAGGAATTTACATTTTTTTGCAGCCGTGTCAAGAGAAAAGAATCTGATCAACACAAGCTTTCAATTACTTTTACCGCCACTGAAAAGACAGAAATTGGAATTTCAAACGTGTCTTTTCCTGATATGTATCAAGGAAGGTAGGTACTTGTCAGATTTGTGAGATCAAACTGATTAAACTTCAGTAACGCAGTCATATTACATTATGCCCCCATCATTGTCTTATCAGGCCCCAGCATGCTTAGGGGTGTAATAAAAAAAAAAAGGCGTCCATCCTGTGTGCTTAGTCTTCGTGTCTCTCAATGAACATGGTGTCAGAAGTGGGATTCCAGCCCACGCCTCTGTTCGGAGGCCAGAAGTTGAGTCTGGGATCCACCTTGTGTGTTTAGTCTTCAGTGGCGGATCCAGACCTTCAGATAAGGGGGGGGGGGGGCGGTCGTCCCTGGATCCTCCACTGGTCAGTAGTGTCTCTCATCAAATGCACCCCAATAGAACTGGTTTGTTTGTGGTGAATTGTGGAATTTTTTCTTACCTTTGTTGCCGCAGCGTCAGAATGTGTTCTTTTCTCGGGCTTAAATTCAATGTATGAGCTCTCCCTCTTATCGAACCCCGCAATGCTCGCCGCAGCTGCTCAATTGCAAGCGATGAGAGCCAGCTGCGCAGGCATCATTGTCGCTCCCTAATCTATCCAATACCGGCGCGGAAGGCTCTGCCGCATCCCGGACGCTGGTGAATTTCTTCAGATTACTTCAGACTTGGGCAAGTTCTGCTCGAAGTGGAGAGCTACTTTGCTGATTTTGCTATACGCTATAATCGAAACTAATTTTTCAGCAAAACAGGACACATGAACGGCAAATGAGATCCTACCAGTTCTTGGTGCGAAACAACACTGACACACCTTGTTTATCTTTTAGTATCTGTGAGGACAAAAAGGAACAGGAATGTTATTCCGAAATCAGAAAGGCGGACAACATCCTCTATGAAAACGGGTAATTTCAGTCAGTTTAATCTGTCATTG